TAAAGCCAGGTCTACTTAGAAAAAGTATGACAAATACAGTCTTTTGCTAATTTTATTCGCAATAGAAATCTTCTAATCTATATATTAGGTCAGGGTTCCTCAGTCTTGGCAACTTTAAGACGGGTGGACTTCAACTCCCAGAATTCTCCAGCCAGCAATTCTCCACATGTCTTAAAGTTGCCAAGGTTGAGGAACCCTGTATTAGGTTACCAGCTCTTATGGATACTCAACCTATATTGTTTAACATATTTGAGCAAAATAGTTTGCTCAAATATGTTAAACAATTTGGTAGAGGATACTGACTAGGCTTATATATATTATATTATGCCATAATATGGTTTATGTAGTTTTGGTTTAGCATAGTGTGTGAATCTTTGTAATTTGTAATCCATATGTTGTGGCTTAGTGTAATGGGTGAACCTGTTGAATAAACCACTAAACCATAGATTAGAATAATAATACATTGTATTTGACAACAATAGAAGCCATGGTTAAATGTTAAATGTAAAGCCAGTCAGTGTATGTGACTTCTCAAATCAAATTCTGTTTGTGATGTCGGGTCTGCTGGTAGGATTGAAAAATGGTTCTTCTTTTCATAGTAGTAACTTTAGTGTGCACTTATAACTAAGTGCAATACAGGTAAATTAAATACACACATACACAATAATCAATATTAGCAATAAAATAATAGAAACATCAATGACATTTTCTATTATGATATAATAATTCATATAAAATACTTCCTATTACTAGGACAACCATAATATAAATCTCTAGCAATTAATGAGAAATAAGTTATTCTGGCTTCATAAAAGTTCTGCAAAAACAAGGAACTTAAGGGTCTTTTAAAATTCATGAGATCACACTTCAAATCTAATTCAAGGGGGAATTGATTCCAGAGAGTAGGAGCGAGGTGGGGAAAAACCCTGATTTGTGAGAAGGGCATTTTAAGACAAGAACAAACTAACCAAGCTGGACTGCACACTTGAGCCTAGTACACAGGAACATAAATTGTAACCAAGTTATTCAAATAATTAGGTAGGCATAGCCTGAAAAGACAGCACCTGTAATTTAAACTGCTAGAGCTTCCAAACACCTAACCAGTGTAGAGACTGAGGAAGGAAGGAAGGAAGGAAGGAAGGAAGGAAGGAAGGAAGGAAGGAAGGAAGGAAGGAAGGAAGGAAGGAAGGAAGGAAGGAAGGAAGGGAGAGGTTGTAGTGGAAAGTATTAGGAG